TTTCGTTTTAGTTTAGGTATGTGTCACACACACAGAGAGAGAGAGAGAGAGAGAGAGAGAGAGAGAGAGAGAGAGAGTTGTTGAAGGCGCAAAATTGCAGTTTTTTGGTTTGCTTTTCAATATGTGTGTGTCACACACACACACACACACACACACACACACACAGTAAAACGAAAAGAAAAATGAAAGCACAATTTCGCGCTTCGTATCCTAACAACGTGCGCGATTGCGCGCCGTCAACCTCGAAAACCCACTTTCGGCGACTTCCCCCTAGCTTCCCCCCATGCACCCCTTCAACTTTCCCCCTAACTTTTCCTCTTCTCCCTCCTTTCCCTCCTCTGTCCTTTTCCCTCTTCTCATACTTCCCCTTTTTTCTCCTCCCCCTTCTCCTCCTCCAGCTCCATCTCTTTCTGCCTCCCTACCCTCCCTCCCTCTTAGGCTTTCGCCTTCCTTTTTCCCCTCCTCCTCGTGTTCCTCTTCCTCTTCCTTGTCCTCCCCTAATGTCGCTTCATCTCCCTTTCGCGATCAGAGTGAATGGGAAGGAAAAAAAAAAACCACCATAGCGTCATCCTCCCTTCATGTCTCTTTGTCTCCCTTTCGCGATCAGAATGAGTAGGAAAGAAAAACAAAACCACCATAGCCTGTTTCAGCCCCCTTTCCCGACGCCATTATCATCTTACCTTGTCCTTGCGAATAGTTCTCCTTACTCCATATCTCGTTTTCATCAGTCAGCGTCATCATGGTAGGGTGCTCTCTCTCTCTCTCTCTCTCTCTCTCTCTCTCTCTCTCTCTCTCTCTCTCTCTCTCTCTCTCTCGCGCGCGCGCGCGCGCGCGCGCGCGCGTGCCCACACACACAGAGTTCGTGTTTGTTTGAACCCCACGAGAAAAGCACGACTGTGCCAGACTGTTTCGCTGGACTTTCACCAACTCATCAGGAGGTTGAACCCCGACAGTCTGCCCGTGATGCATTTGCATGCATGCGTGTGTTCGTGCCCGTGCGCGTGTGCGTGCATGTGCTTGTTCGAGTGGACGGGTGGGCATTGGTGCCGGTGCGAGTGTGCGTGCATGTGCTGGTGCGAGTGTGCGTGCATGTGCTTGTTCGAGTGGATGGGGGGGCGTTGGTGCTGGTTGGACCTCAGTGCAGGGAAAGCGCCACCCTGCAACGGCCAAAAACGCCCTGGCCCTGTGTACCGGTTGTCCAACGGCCCGACGGCCCGGATTGCCCCGCGATGTTAAGATCTTAAGATCGCGGGGCAATCCAGGCCGACGGGCCGGTAGGACCGCGAATGGCCTGGATTGCCGCGCGATCTTAAAATCTTAAGATCGCGGGGCAATCTGGGCCGTCGGGCCAGTAGGTCTGAGGACGGCCCGGATCCCAAAATTCTCACATTAGGAACTTTTATAAGTGTAGGGATGTGACCGGTGAGGTAATGGATCCCAGTGGAGCTGTGTGGACCATTTCTGTCTGTGGCGTGTTTTCTTTCTTCAACATCACTCAATAATTACAAGAAATGATGAAAGTGTCCTCTTTAGAAGTTGAACTTGGAAGCTTTCCGCCAGCGGTTCCCATTATTTTTGCTAAGCAAGAAATTCTACAACGGGTCCACAACAACATTTTGAACATAAGAGATCCCCAGTCTGAGCAATCTAATGGAAGCAAGACATTAATGAGAGTGTTCCCACAACAGCTGCTGTACAAATACTTGACATACACTCTGTGCATAAGATGCTGCTGTCTGGACCCCATCGCCAGTCACGGATTGAATCATCCACCTCCACCAAATGCCCCCCTCACTCTTGCAACCACTCCGTTTGACACCATAGCCAATCAACACGAAGGAGAATGCAGTTGCCACCATGTCCGGCAACCACTCCGTTCGACACCATAGCCAATCAAGATGAAGGAGAAGGAAGATGTCGCCTTGGTCGGTGACCACTCACACCATAGCCCGTCAAGACGAAGGAGAACAAAGTCGTCAGCTTCACCGGCAACCACCCTCTTCGACACCATCGCAAACAAGACGAAGGAGAAGCAAGTCGTCCCCTCGGCCAGCAAGCCCTCGCTTCAACAACATAGCCAATCAAAACGAAACGATCAAGACAAAGGCGAAGGACGTCATCACCTTTGTCGGCAACCACTCTCCTCGACACCATAACCAATGGAAGACGAAGCAGAAGGAACAAGACGAAGGAGAAGCAAGTCGTCCCCTCGGCCAGCACCACTCTCCTCGACACCATAACCAATGGAAGACGAAGCAGAAGGAAGTCGCCACCTTCGTCAGGAACCACTCTGTTCTGCATCATAGCAGATCAAGACGAAGGAGAGCAAAGTCGCTTTGCCCTCAGGCATCGCCAATCAAGATGATGGAGCAGGAAGTCGTCCATGGACATCGAGAATCGCCCACCTCCACTGGGCGCCGTCATCCGCTCCAGTGGGTGCCTTTGATTTCCCCTCAATGTTGCCGTTTCCTGTCAGTACTCTGCCTATTGTCGGCCTGTGACCCGTTGAGTTGACATGATCCATTTGCTGTGGTTGTTCAACACCACCATTGACTTTGACTTGGCTGCCAGTTGATTCCTGGTCTATGGAGCTTGCCATTTCTTGAACTGCCTTCTGCAGCACTTCCATGAACTCACCCACGCGGTGCTGAAGCTGGCCTGCTAGCCCTTCTTTCCCCAACAGGACCAGCACCTCCGATAGCTGTCCGATCTGCAATGACACTCCAATCAACGGTTAACAACCGAGTTAACTCCTCAGATGCTTGGAAGAATCTGTCAGGGAAGTGTGTCCACATTCTTTTCTTTTATTCCTTTTTTTTTAACACACACACGCACTCGGCCCCTTCTATTCTGCGGGGCGTCAGTCCGGTTACCTATCACCATCAAGCATGTTATACACAATTTCAGAAATTGAGTTCCGAGGGCCTTGCCCTCCTGCCACGGCCTGACCTGATGATTACCTGACACCGAGGGCCTTGCCCTCCTGCCATGCCCTGATCCGATGATTACCTGACCCCCCCCCCCCCTTTCCCTCGGGCCTCGGCCAGCATGAGCTTATTCACGGCCGGGAGACTCCCCTTGGTACCCAGCCACCACGATGCCCTACTTCACAGGGGAGGGGGGGAGTCCAAGTCCCCCGTGCCAGGAGGAATATGCCCATGGTAACCCCGGACCCGGACACTGGACACTTCCGGACTGTCTTCCGAACCAGTGTCTGGAC